ATTTTATTTTTCCAATTTTATTAAAGTTTATGCGGTTTATATAAGTCACTTTAGGGAAGTTTGTGTCTGGAAAAATAATTAACTGGAAAGTTTCTCGGTTCCTCGAGATGATAAAAGATACTGTGATAAGAGTGGCCTAGTTTCGATATCGATATCTGCCTTATTTTTGTTAGCAATGAAAAAGGAAAAAGTAGTAGACGAATAGAAGGGGCCAATCATTATCAAACTGCTGCGCAGAATCTGATGGGAAGGTAGAGGAAAGAAAATGGAACATACTAAGTACCAAATCTAAATGATCTAAATCGTTGTGCGGGAAATATTTTTACTGCATTCATTCTAATTTTGTTAGATTTTATATTCAAGTCGCGCATGTTTTAAAATGATAAATAATAGTAAATATTTTCCTGAATTTGAATTTCAAGAATGTAAAATTAGATGAATACCTACTATGAGTGTTGTAGGTACCTTTTTAAATGAAAATTAATTGGTTTTGTTATTATTATTTATACAAAACTATAAGTGTGAATTTCAAAAAATGTTTTTTAATAAAATATTTTATGAAAAATCCTCAAAGAAACACGGCAGAGATTGTGTTAGTGAGAGCTACCGCATTTTTATCTGCATCAACCACGAGTCCAAACAATAGCTACTGTGTTGTCATATCCCTGACCCAGTTTTCAGACACGTGTTGTATTAGCCCTTCTACTTTTAAGCCTTCGGTTGATATATATATTCGTATATCCCAAGTTTAAAAATACACGATATGAAATAGCTGCTGCCATCTATAATCTTCTAGCAAAAGAAATTACTTTGCGTTTCATTTCATCAGAATTGCAGTAAACTTTTTGTATTTACCTAATGAAAATAATTTTATATTTAGATACTCTAAACTAAACAATAAATTATTTATTAAACTGAAGAATATATTCTTCGTTTAAATCCACCTTGTAATTAAAAAAAAATATGGTAGTGAAGAACGCTAACAATTGGTGACATTTTATAATTATGATTGGTAGTCTAGGTATTTCCACAGATTCATACATAAAATCTTTATCTATGACACAATCTTTTTGACAGCGGCTGGCAAGGGTAGTTGTAAAACACGTGCTTTTTAAAATAATTTGTTTAAGAAAATGGATAAACAAGTCGTTTTAGCCCGTGTTATTAAAGTTCTAGGAAGAACTGGCTCCCAGGGACAGTGTACACAGGTGAAAGTAGAGTTTATTGGTGAACAAAATCGACAAATCATACGTAATGTAAAGGGGCCTGTTAGAGAAGGTGATATCCTCACACTGCTCGAATCCGAACGTGAAGCTAGAAGATTACGATAACTTGTAAGTAATTTATTGACAAAAATACAATAACTTTATTAAATAGAATGATTGTGTTGTAGTGAGTTGAGCTTGTTGGAAGTTTACGAACTGCTTTTTATAGTACTTGATAAGTAATTGCATTTTTGTGAATACAGAATGGAAATATAGAATGTAATTACGTATAATTCATTTAATAGTGTCTAATAAGCTCTGTTTTATTTACAGCAGACCACTTCAAAACAATTACAATGGACAACAATATTGTTTTTAGGTCTTAAGTTATGTAAGTAATAATTCAATAAAAGTGATTTTCCAAAATCTCCTTTGTTAAAGAACACCTTATTCTTTTAAATTTATTTATTTAGTGTTCAAGTTTTTTAAATGCATAATGCAGAAGAACATACAAATACACTTTCAAAATTAGTAACAATATAACAAAATTAAAACCATTATGTCTGACTAAATGTAGAATTAAATACATCATAAACAATATGTTTACAAAGTGTAATACTTAAGTCCAAAGTTTTAATAAGTTATTTGAAATGATTTTTTATTAACTCTTCAGCTTTCTTCATATTTGCCATTTTGGTAACTTTGGCTTGAAACTTTTTTCCTTTTCCTGCACCTTTTCCTTCCAAAATATTAGAAATTCTATAAATGAAATGGAGATTATTAAAAAGGAAATTTAAAGCTATTTTTACATATCACAACAGAAAATTAATAATACATTATATGGTTGTACAGTTTTGGATTCAAGATTCAGCAAAATATTTCAGTAATACTGAATATAACAAGGAATAATCAAAGATAAAAAACATCACTTTTGTAAGAGTTCATGAAAAGCTGTTAAATTATTCAATTTTAAAATACACAGATAGACTTACTGATTTCCTAAATTTTGCACATCGGACTCTTGCCCATACAAAACAATATTTCCTGTTGTTTTCTCGTCTCCAACGGCTAAGAATAAAAAAGTTACTGTTTCTGTATCATTAATTTCTCTTAAAAATGTATTAATGTAGTCAACATCAGCTTCTTTTTTATAATGAATAAAAAACTTTGGATGTGGTACAGAATTTTTCAGTTTCTGAGCTTCAGCTATTGCTAGTTCTTTTAAAACAGACTGTAAATTCTTGTTGATCAATTTTGTGTTTTTCTGAAGTCTTTCAACCAATTCGTAGTGCTGATTAGGATTATTGCTGCAATATAAAAATGATGTCAACTTTCATTTTTTTTTTTTAGAGAATGTATATTATCTCTTCACTACATACTTTAGTAGTGTTGTTAATTTTGCTTCTCTTTCCAAGCAAGAACTTAATTTTTTTAACACTCTGTTTCCAACAAGAAAGTAAAGTAGTGTTTTATTTTTCCTTTTGCTCTTCTCAGAGTGTAGCAACTTAATTACTTGCAATTGACTTAAATTTGTAACATGGGTGCCACAGCACATATTACTTTCCACATCTTCAATGGTAATAATTCGAATATCACCCTTATGATCATCTGGTAAACCTCTAGTTCTTGCCTTAAAAAAAGTTACTCATGTGTTGGATCGTACCTAATATTTGAAGATGTCTATTTACTTTTATTTCATTAGCTGAGTTACTTTCTTTAATCACTTCCACTGACACCTTTTTTCCTGACCGAATTAATTCATTAACTATTTCTTCAGCACTGCTAATTTGCTCAGGAGTAATAAATGGGGTATCTTGAAAATAAATTAAATTTAAGATAAATATAATTGAAGGAATATCAATTTTTACCTAATTCTATATGAGATACTTCTTCTCCAAGCCACCAAGAAACTGTCGGAAATTTAAATTCGCGATCTATTATGGCAGTAATTAAATGTTGTCCTATAATTAAGGTTTTAGAACAATTACCTTTAAATCATTAAAAAAATATTTACCAGAATGTTGTTGCATATGATCAAAACGTCTTGGCCAATCAACTTTTTGTTCTACGGAATCACCAACATTAAAAGGTTCAGTTACAAAAATTATTGCTTTGTCTTCTTTTCTTGTTACTTGGAAGACAGGTTTATCGTTTAAAAAACCATAATCACATGGCTAAAATTAATTTAGGAACAGTGTTGTTATACATTAGTTTATTTTAAATTGAAGAATTACTTGTCCTCCTCCTTCTGGAAATAGAATCGTATCTTTCAGTATAATTTCGTAACCATTTACAGAAGATTTCTTGCCTTCTTTTGTGGTATCAAGAGATGACTTGGTACATGAAATAACAGTTGATGTATACTAAAATTTTAATTAATGTAATGCAATTCGTGAGTAGAAATTCCAATAGAGTAGCATACCTACCTGCTTAAGAAAGCTATCTTCTTGGCACTTAAACACCATTTGAAATGCTTTTGTTTTTATGTAAAAGAGTTAAATCCAGCCAACTTTTACCAAAGTTGATCTTCAATTACTAATAATTTAGTGACATTTATTTCCTGAAATTGTATATAATTTGTTTGGTAAGAAACATTTGTATTTTATTATTAAAAGAGTTATTTAATTTTTAAATTTATCACTAATTATATAAAAATATGATAAAAATGAATAAAAACTACCCTCCAAAAGTTAGGCTAGAATCATAGAAGTGATAAAAGTCTATGGTGATATGTTTATAGATATACGACACTTATGAATAGCCTATAGAAGTACTCATTTAGACTGATCGAGTAAATGATGCCGTTTTTGTTTTATTTGTCTCTGAATGACTCTTTAATTTACTAGACTTTTATGAGGATTAAAGTTCTTTCTAAATATTCAATTTTTGAACATAAAAACATGTTTGATCATTTTGAAAATAATTCAAAAGCATATTTATTATGGAAAGCTACTTAAAATTTTAGTAGGGTCAATGGTGGGGGTGCCATGTGTCCGAAGTTGTGACGTTGGTGCCACGTAAAATTAGAGCTGGAAGTTTAGCGGATTTTGAGGTTGCATTCTAATAAATAATCATCAGTTGCTGTTCGTATGTTTACCGCATATGAAGTTGAAAAACTACATTAAAAATCATTAGTAGAAACTGTATCCATTAAAATGAAATCTATTTTATTCTTAGCTTTGCTTGTTTTACCTTCGATTTTATTTATTATTGGTGATGGTAAGTGTTGAATTTTATTTTAAATTTCGATTTGGTCTTTAGAAAATGTTTCAGTAACTGCTACTCCTTTTAACTACAAATTGCTTGATAGATTGCTTGTGTTTTAACACCAATAAATTTTATTTACAGGACAGAAGGTGTTTGCTTATGCCCAAGAAGATCCTTTAGAAGAGGAAGCAGAAGTAGAAGGAGAAAACGACATCGAAGATGTTGCAACAGCAGGTGAAGAATATGAAGAAGAGGAGTCCCAAAGTACAGCGTCACCAGATGCAGATACAGCTTTATTATTTGTGAGGCCTTTACAAACACCAGGTGTACAGATGGGTAAGTAGGGTATTATTCTTTCCATATTTAAAAGATTGATATAACTAATTTATTATTATATTATTGAAGTTAGTTACACTAATTTATTATTATATTATTGAAAAATTAAGTAAGCCATTCCTTGTAGAAATCCCAGCTGGTCGACCTGTAGAATTCCTTATTGGGTTTAGAAATAAAGGTAAAGAGGACTTCATTATACATACAGTTGAAGCATCCTTCCGCTACCCTATGGATTTCAATTTCTACATTCAGAACTTCTCTGCTCTTGCATATAACAAACTTGTATCCCCTTCTCAAGAAGCTACAGTGGCCTACAGCTTTATTCCTTCTGATGCCTTTGCTGGAAGACCATTTGGTCTTGCCATTAATATGGCATACCAAGATGCCAGCGGTAATACCTTCCAAGAGGCTGTTTTCAATGAGACTGTATCAATTATAGAATTAGAAGAAGGTAATTTAATATGTGTACAAGCAAACTTTAAAGTTATTTTTCCTCATTTTTTGTAACTCTGTTTTTGTAGTAGTTTTATAAAAATTATTGATATTGGACTCATCCAATATATCTTGAGTACTTAGTAATTATTGCTTGTAATTAATTGTTTGAGAATGGAGTTTTAATTCAAACTTTACTGGTTATAGGTTTAGATGGAGAAACTTTCTTTTTATACGTTTTTATGGCAGCTTGTGTTATATTATTGATGGTTATTGGCCAACATACGTTATTGTCCGTTGGTCGTAAGCGTACAAATCGCAAGGCTCCAGTTGAGACCGGCACAACCAATCCTAATGATGTCGACTATGACTGGCTTCCCAAACAGACTTTGGCATCCTTTAGTGAGTATTTAGAAAGTAATTTTCCTAAAACTTTAAACATTGTAACATTCTGACTATTTCGTTGGATTTTTTTTACTTAATTTGGAATACTAATATAGAAGAAACGTAATTCTAGCGAAAGTTTATTTTCCTGTTTATTTATTTGTGCGGAATTAATTTAGTGGGAAGTTAAATATTTGCTGTTTATTCAATAATTACTTTTCTAGTCGTGTTACTTTTCATCTTTTTGAACATAGTGAAAATCTAAAATCATTTACATTTTTTACTGATTTCATATCACAGTATTTTTTCTTTCTCTCTTGTAGATAATGTACTAATCTGTATAATTAATACCAATTCAAGAGTAATGCTAAGTCGTAGGTACATATACCATATTTCAATTTAAAAGTTCAAAAGTCTCAACATTTTACATTCATTAAAAATATATGAAAATATTACATTATCTATTAGGAAGAAAATATATTAAATTATATAATCTTGAAAAGCTATATAATTAAATAAAAAATGACTACTATAATGATACTAAATTTTGGTAAATTTGTTTAATTTTACGATAAATAATAGCTTGTTGAATATGAAAGTCTTCCATTCATGTCTTGTTTGCAGATAAGCAACAGAAGTCACCTAAAAGTACAAAAAGTCCTAGACAACGTAAAGCGCAACGCAGTACTGGATCTGAGTAGAAATATTTTGATTCATAAAATGGGTGTGTCAGTTGAGTTTTTGCGAAAACATTTGTTGATGCGTTCACAGACTAAATACTCTTAGTGTTTTTGATAACACAAACAACTGTGTTCCTTTTTTTTTTAAGGGACGTTGTTACATTTCCATTACCCTTTGTACTTCCTTTTTTAAGTGCTGTTATCATCGACTTAAATTGATTTCGTTTTAAACTGGTAATTTGATTAAATAAAAGCGAACACTTTTTTATATATATTTTCTTTCATTGTGAGAACCATAACAAAATTGTTTTTTTTTTATTAAATTAGAAGTCGAATGCTTATGTGGTTGTGAAATGTATTTATTTTTCTAGATGTAAATTTAATGAAGAGACCAGTAGTTTTAATATAATTAGTACTTCTTTGGCAAAATTTAAATATAAATGATTTATACTACTACGTCTGGCAAATTAGTTTTATTTCTTTTTATAGCCACAAATAGGGTAAGGTTGTAATAATAAGCCATTAATCAGTCTAAATTTTGTTTATTTCTTAAAGACATTTTAATACATTCTACAGATGGTTTATATGTAATAATTAATCGTTTTATGAAGAGGAAACCTAAATAAATTATGGAACAGGGATACTGTGAAATATTTTACGAAGATTAGAATTTTAATAATAGTTCTTTATTAAGTCCATGTATAATAATAAAAGTACGTATAGTGTAGTTGCTCTTCACTAAGCACCAAAAGGTAAATGGACTTTCTCACTTTTTATGTACTTAGTGTAATAATCGCACTTTATTTCAGTGCGTGCCAAACAGATTTATGCAAGCTGCTCCTTTTATATTAAATTTGTTGTTAATTACATAAATTTTTATATAAAATCTCTTAAAATTAAGAACTAAAACATCAATTTCTCACTTTTCTATTACATATACTGTTTTCTCTTTAATCCTTGCCTCTACCATTTCAATATATTCACAGGTCTTTTTCTCTTAATTCTTCTGTTAATAAGTTTCTCAGATCATCCTCTTAGTAAGTTACCCTTTTGTTTTGTTTGTAGCATAAGAAACGGCCCAGTTTCTCCTTTCATTACATCTTACTACATTATTTAAATACTTTGCCTTGTTTATTACTGGTTTTATGTCCCTACATACACAACTATAAGTGGAGTCTTCAATCGCTTTTTATTCCTTAACTGTCTCTCTACTTGTTGAAAATTTCTTCCTCTCCTATACCTTTTAAGAAATTTCAGATACTTTTATTCCATATAAGATCCTCAAACAATCTGATGGCTTACTGTTTAAAATTGTTCTTATCTCTTTTATTAAACATTTATATTGATTGCTGATGTATTTTTACAGTGTAAGTGAAATTAATCATCTATTAAATGTGTCTTTAGTTACTGTACTTACTAATGTATTTATTTCAGAAGTATAAAAGGTACATTACTGCATTTGAATGTTGTTTATTCTAAGTTTTTCCCAATTATTTCAGTCCATGCGATCTGAAAGTAGTAAGTAGACGTTACAAAAATAAATAAATATGGGGTAAATTATATAATATAAACGTATTTTTAAATAATGTTTGCATAATGGATATAAATTTGTAGGTTAAATTGGAAGTTATACACTTTACGTACCTTATTAATCAATTGGCATTGCCGATGTGTTTATGTTGCTTTAGTTTTTATTAAATACGTATTATCCTTCTCTTCTAAATTGAGTAAATACCTATTTTTAATACATTGTAAAGTAATTTTGATAGTTTGTATAATTTGTCAACATGAAGAAATGTAAACACACACTTCGAAGTTGTACAACTAGCCGTAACTTTGGCGAAAAATTACTAGAAATGAAGAATTGCTATAAACTTTTCGTCTGTATAATGATTAAATAAGTAATTACTGATGGTTATATTATTTTTTCTGACCCATACATTGTTGAAAAACATAAATTTAACTAGTTCTGTAATTTCTAAGATAATTATTCCGTTTAAAAAATAGCGGTTATAGCGCCACTATTTATAGAAAATTTACCATGTAACTTATGTTCTCCTAATACAAAATCGGGCCTTAAAATTTTGTTCATGCAAAGTATGAGTGTCTGGCGCATCCACCAAAATTGAAACCATTTATTGCAGTAGTATTACTTGTTAATCATTTTATAAGTCCCGGCGCATCCACCTATATCTTGAGTACTTAGTAATTATTGCTTGTAATTAATTGTTTGAGAATGGAGTTTTAATTCAAACTTTACTGGTTATAGGTTTAGATGGNTTTGGAAAAATTCTGTAGTTTCTACATAAATATGTGTAACCATCAAGTCTAGTTGTAAATTTATAAAGTTCTTCTTTTTATTTTGTTTTATTGTTCAAGTTTCAATATACTATTATTGTTTTTATTTCTAGGTTGTGCAAAAGACCATATTTCGTTGCTAAAATTATTTCTAAACATACTGCACTGAACGAAATAATTTTTAGAGTGAATGTTTGTCTGTAGGGTGCCCACTCATTCGAAGTTTGACTATAAATAGGCTACAACGGGGTCAGTGGGTCAATCAATGTTTGGCGTCCCGGCGCCTGTCGCCGAGCCCCGCCCGCACCAACTGTGTTGGTTGCGTTTACTATCGATCCCCTTATCATCTTCTTATTCTTCTTGTGACCTCCCATGCAGGCAATTTCTGAAAATCCCCTTTTTAAACAGTTATGCATGTTGTTTTGTTACATAATATTGCTACTATATGTATAAACAAAAACAGAAACATAAGAATGCACTTTTATTTTTTTGTTGTGCTGGTTAAGTAATAAATAAATAAATTTTAATAATTTTAAAACGCACCCATGATAAATAGATTAGCATAAAAACGTGGATCATAACAGTACTTTTCTTTTTTCTCTGAATGTTATCAACTCGCCACTAATGTATCTACATATGTATAATATATTGTATATATTTCTAATTTTTTATAAATTTATTAATTCTACTGTTTTTCTTATATTAAACTATCAAAATTAGCAAACAAAAATGAGCTTTCCATTTTAATTAGCTGCTGTAAACTAAATTTTCAATTTTATTTTTCCAATTTTATTAAAGTTTATGCGGTTTATATAAGTCACTTTAGGGAAGTTTGTGTCTGGAAAAATAATTAACTGGAAAGTTTCTCGGTTCCTCGAGATGATAAAAGATACTGTGATAAGAGTGGCCTAGTTTCGATATCGATATCTGCCTTATTTTTGTTAGCAATGAAAAAGGAAAAAGTAGTAGACGAATAGAAGGGGCCAATCATTATCAAACTGCTGCGCAGAATCTGATGGGAAGGTAGAGGAAAGAAAATGGAACATACTAAGTACCAAATCTAAATGATCTAAATCGTTGTGCGGGAAATATTTTTACTGCATTCATTCTAATTTTGTTAGATTTTATATTCAAGTCGCGCATGTTTTAAAATGATAAATAATAGTAAATATTTTCCTGAATTTGAATTTCAAGAATGTAAAATTAGATGAATACCTACTATGAGTGTTGTAGGTACCTTTTTAAATGAAAATTAATTGGTTTTGTTATTATTATTTATACAAAACTATAAGTGTGAATTTCAAAAAATGTTTTTTAATAAAATATTTTATGAAAAATCCTCAAAGAAACACGGCAGAGATTGTGTTAGTGAGAGCTACCGCATTTTTATCTGCATCAACCACGAGTCCAAACAATAGCTACTGTGTTGTCATATCCCTGACCCAGTTTTCAGACACGTGTTGTATTAGCCCTTCTACTTTTAAGCCTTCGGTTGATATATATATTCGTATATCCCAAGTTTAAAAATACACGATATGAAATAGCTGCTGCCATCTATAATCTTCTAGCAAAAGAAATTACTTTGCGTTTCATTTCATCAGAATTGCAGTAAACTTTTTGTATTTACCTAATGAAAATAATTTTATATTTAGATACTCTAAACTAAACAATAAATTATTTATTAAACTGAAGAATATATTCTTCGTTTAAATCCACCTTGTAATTAAAAAAAAATATGGTAGTGAAGAACGCTAACAATTGGTGACATTTTATAATTATGATTGGTAGTCTAGGTATTTCCACAGATTCATACATAAAATCTTTATCTATGACACAATCTTTTTGACAGCGGCTGGCAAGGGTAGTTGTAAAACACGTGCTTTTTAAAATAATTTGTTTAAGAAAATGGATAAACAAGTCGTTTTAGCCCGTGTTATTAAAGTTCTAGGAAGAACTGGCTCCCAGGGACAGTGTACACAGGTGAAAGTAGAGTTTATTGGTGAACAAAATCGACAAATCATACGTAATGTAAAGGGGCCTGTTAGAGAAGGTGATATCCTCACACTGCTCGAATCCGAACGTGAAGCTAGAAGATTACGATAACTTGTAAGTAATTTATTGACAAAAATACAATAACTTTATTAAATAGAATGATTGTGTTGTAGTGAGTTGAGCTTGTTGGAAGTTTACGAACTGCTTTTTATAGTACTTGATAAGTAATTGCATTTTTGTGAATACAGAATGGAAATATAGAATGTAATTACGTATAATTCATTTAATAGTGTCTAATAAGCTCTGTTTTATTTACAGCAGACCACTTCAAAACAATTACAATGGACAACAATATTGTTTTTAGGTCTTAAGTTATGTAAGTAATAATTCAATAAAAGTGATTTTCCAAAATCTCCTTTGTTAAAGAACACCTTATTCTTTTAAATTTATTTATTTAGTGTTCAAGTTTTTTAAATGCATAATGCAGAAGAACATACAAATACACTTTCAAAATTAGTAACAATATAACAAAATTAAAACCATTATGTCTGACTAAATGTAGAATTAAATACATCATAAACAATATGTTTACAAAGTGTAATACTTAAGTCCAAAGTTTTAATAAGTTATTTGAAATGATTTTTTATTAACTCTTCAGCTTTCTTCATATTTGCCATTTTGGTAACTTTGGCTTGAAACTTTTTTCCTTTTCCTGCACCTTTTCCTTCCAAAATATTAGAAATTCTATAAATGAAATGGAGATTATTAAAAAGGAAATTTAAAGCTATTTTTACATATCACAACAGAAAATTAATAATACATTATATGGTTGTACAGTTTTGGATTCAAGATTCAGCAAAATATTTCAGTAATACTGAATATAACAAGGAATAATCAAAGATAAAAAACATCACTTTTGTAAGAGTTCATGAAAAGCTGTTAAATTATTCAATTTTAAAATACACAGATAGACTTACTGATTTCCTAAATTTTGCACATCGGACTCTTGCCCATACAAAACAATATTTCCTGTTGTTTTCTCGTCTCCAACGGCTAAGAATAAAAAAGTTACTGTTTCTGTATCATTAATTTCTCTTAAAAATGTATTAATGTAGTCAACATCAGCTTCTTTTTTATAATGAATAAAAAACTTTGGATGTGGTACAGAATTTTTCAGTTTCTGAGCTTCAGCTATTGCTAGTTCTTTTAAAACAGACTGTAAATTCTTGTTGATCAATTTTGTGTTTTTCTGAAGTCTTTCAACCAATTCGTAGTGCTGATTAGGATTATTGCTGCAATATAAAAATGATGTCAACTTTCATTTTTTTTTTTTAGAGAATGTATATTATCTCTTCACTACATACTTTAGTAGTGTTGTTAATTTTGCTTCTCTTTCCAAGCAAGAACTTAATTTTTTTAACACTCTGTTTCCAACAAGAAAGTAAAGTAGTGTTTTATTTTTCCTTTTGCTCTTCTCAGAGTGTAGCAACTTAATTACTTGCAATTGACTTAAATTTGTAACATGGGTGCCACAGCACATATTACTTTCCACATCTTCAATGGTAATAATTCGAATATCACCCTTATGATCATCTGGTAAACCTCTAGTTCTTGCCTTAAAAAAAGTTACTCATGTGTTGGATCGTACCTAATATTTGAAGATGTCTATTTACTTTTATTTCATTAGCTGAGTTACTTTCTTTAATCACTTCCACTGACACCTTTTTTCCTGACCGAATTAATTCATTAACTATTTCTTCAGCACTGCTAATTTGCTCAGGAGTAATAAATGGGGTATCTTGAAAATAAATTAAATTTAAGATAAATATAATTGAAGGAATATCAATTTTTACCTAATTCTATATGAGATACTTCTTCTCCAAGCCACCAAGAAACTGTCGGAAATTTAAATTCGCGATCTATTATGGCAGTAATTAAATGTTGTCCTATAATTAAGGTTTTAGAACAATTACCTTTAAATCATTAAAAAAATATTTACCAGAATGTTGTTGCATATGATCAAAACGTCTTGGCCAATCAACTTTTTGTTCTACGGAATCACCAACATTAAAAGGTTCAGTTACAAAAATTATTGCTTTGTCTTCTTTTCTTGTTACTTGGAAGACAGGTTTATCGTTTAAAAAACCATAATCACATGGCTAAAATTAATTTAGGAACAGTGTTGTTATACATTAGTTTATTTTAAATTGAAGAATTACTTGTCCTCCTCCTTCTGGAAATAGAATCGTATCTTTCAGTATAATTTCGTAACCATTTACAGAAGATTTCTTGCCTTCTTTTGTGGTATCAAGAGATGACTTGGTACATGAAATAACAGTTGATGTATACTAAAATTTTAATTAATGTAATGCAATTCGTGAGTAGAAATTCCAATAGAGTAGCATACCTACCTGCTTAAGAAAGCTATCTTCTTGGCACTTAAACACCATTTGAAATGCTTTTGTTTTTATGTAAAAGAGTTAAATCCAGCCAACTTTTACCAAAGTTGATCTTCAATTACTAATAATTTAGTGACATTTATTTCCTGAAATTGTATATAATTTGTTTGGTAAGAAACATTTGTATTTTATTATTAAAAGAGTTA